GTACCAAATCTCGTGAAGTTATCTTGTCAAATAAAAAAGTTTTCCATATAAGGACTTGAGATGAGCGGGCAGTTTGTATGGCAGCTATATGCTATTTTTATCGAATATCGCCGGTTCCGACAAATGCGCAACTACTTGCGGAGCAATGGGTTTGTGCAGAATGTCAGATCGATATCTCAAAAYCGCAGGTACTAAATTGTTATATTGATATACATATAGGCTCATAGACGTTTCTTTCTCGGTGTTACAAACTTTTTGACAAACTTAGTACATATTTATTACCTATTCAGGGTATAATATGCCAAAATTCAATTACACAAAACTAAATAGCGGTAAACACAAAGTAAGTTACTAACGGTACACATTTTTAGTTACTATGGTACTTTCAATTTTCCCTTAAGCCAAAGCTGCCAGCATATTTTTCATTGCTTTACATATTTGTGTATGTATATATATAATATAATTATTTCTATGTATGTGTGCAATTTTTTTAATGAAACTATGCGTGAAATCGTTTGAACTTACCTATTTTTCTGTTGCTTGTCCTTTCGGCGTAGTAAACCAACACTAACGCACACACTCTTCGACAATAATAACAAAGCGGAATTTGATTCAAATTATCTTTGGGGTAGCAGGATAAAGAGTTAGCGCTGTCTCTTATTCGTATTTTCTTTATACCAGTCGTCGTCGTATACTGTTGCTCGTTGCAATGAAAGTATGCAATAATACAATAGATTTTATTTGGACGCTTACTTTTTTTTTCGATTCGTTGAAATATATTAATTTTCGGTGCCCGCTTTCGGGCGACTAAATTGGCAACACGTTTGAATAAAATTAATTCGATTTAAAATTGAAATATGTATATATTCATACATATGTATATTGATTTCTCACAACAAATTTTGTTCTAATTTTTTTGCATGCAAAAATTTAGTTAAATCTGTGTTCCTTAAACGCTAGCAACGCGCACTTACTTTGCTTTTTTTTCTACTTCCTCCGGCACGTTGTATTCACTAACAAAATCGGTTGTGTTTTTTTTTCAATTCCTAAAAGTGGTAATTGCATACATACATACACACACAAGAATATGCACACAATTATTTTAACATTTTTTTAAAACAATTTAAACAAATATACATATGTATATGAGTTTTTGTTATTTTCACGGCAGCAACGCAAAACAAGTTAATATCAACAC